ACCTGCTGCGACCAAACACGTAGCTACTTGATCCTCAGATAAAAGCTTGGTGCACTCTACAACGGCATTGGTCTGCTTCGGAACGGAATTGTCAAAAGGGATCTCCAAGATATTCGCAGCCTTCTCAAACTCTTCTGCGTTGTCACCACACAAGAGCTTGATCTTGCGATCACCCATAAAGAACTTTAGGGAATTCCGAACGTTGATTTCTGACCTGGAATCGACAGGATATGCTCCAATGAAGTTGGTGTAGATGTCCTTCACCGTAAGCATTTTCATCGCAATTCATTGTCCATTTGGTCTTCCAAAAACACGAAATGCAACGTAACGACATCTCCCCATTCTTTCAGTTCTGTTTGAAAAACCTTTTCTTTGTGTTTTGGTGCCTCATCTTGCCCCTAACGCACGCCTGACAGTATGGATTCTTGAATCTGCGCGATATCAAGTGGGCCATAGAAATCGCCTCTTCTTTCACTTTGCGCTTGAGCAATTTGACTGGGGCCCACTTGTTCTCATCTACCAGAATGACCCCGAGTCATCATCCACGACCTCGCCCTCCTCCACACTTCCCTCCTTGCCTTCAGGCTTGGACCCCTCGGCCGGTTGACCCGAGACCGGTGGTCCAAAATTGGGATCATCTGCAGCCAACTCACGAATGGCCCCCTCAATCATGCCGTCTGCACTTTCTGTGGACTCCGCCGGCACGGCAGGTTGCATATCTGGCCCAGCGACATCCCTTATATGCTCCATCGTGGATCACCAGAAATGTGTCAAGGAGTGTCATCCTTGACCGCCAGCGCCACCAACTTTCCACTAGGAGTAATAAGACGCGACACAACACGGTATCCTCCACGCATGCATTTTCTACCGATCGAAAGCACAGATGGTGCGTCAGGAAGTACATACGGTTCTATGCTCTCATCGAACTCCACCATGTTGGTGGCTACTTCTACACCCTTGGCATTGCCGATGGCGGTCTGGAACTGAATGGGGCACTTCGCCTTCGACCTCCTCATCTTATGATCCTCAACCTCAGCTTTGGAGATGAGATCAGATCCACACCCAGTGTCCATAATCCAGCGATGCCCTTCATGGTCGTTATTCGTTATCACTACATTTCTCCTCAGCGCTAATCTCACCGTCGAAGGCATTGTCACGACGGTTTGACTTCCCTTGAATTCCTCCATGATAATGTCACTAGTGACGTAGTCTTTCTTTTTGTCGTACTGAATGACCCAAGTCATCCCAGGTCCGGCCCATTGCCTTCTTCGGCTTGAATCGTCTCTTCGTAGCAACCTCATGTAACAGGTCGCCCGCGACCTCGCAGCCTCAGAATGGGCCCGAACAATCTCCTTGCGTTCGTCAGCGACAAAGACCTTTTCGTCACACAATCGTGGATTGGAATGTCTTGGGCAGAGGTCCTTAACCTGTCTCCATCAGGTGCCCTCTTTGACCGGAATGACACACCGCTTCGCGCGCGTAGTGTTTGAGAAACTTACACTCTTCTTCGGGGATGGTGATGAGGTAGAGGCGACTGCTATCTTGATGGCTGGCGCTGCCGGCTTCTCTGATTTACGCGCACAGGGACATCTGTCCCGTCTCTTGCAATCCCGCTTTTGGAAATCACGACACACCTTGTCTTCCCTGCCTTTGGGTGACGCGCTCCTAGATTTCGGAGGACCTATCGTCTCAGCCTTCGCGCGTAGCTTGGTGTCATGTGTAAGAAGGGGCAATCCTTCCAATTCCTGCAGTCACGCTTGACTAGGCAGAAGTAACATGGTCGTTTCTCTCCATTGTTGGGAGATTCCGATCTTGCACCTTTCCCCACTTTGCCTTGGCGTCAGGTACGACCGGCACTCCTTCCTTCTCCTTCTTTTCCGTTCTCCCTGTTTCTTTTCCTTCTTATCCACTTCTTTCTATTGCTGCTCCTTTTTCTATTTATCTTTCTTGTCTTTCTCCTGCTTCTCCTTTTCCTTCTAGGCCTTCTCCTTTTCTGCCTTTGTGGCCGGTGCTCCCGGCTTGGAAGGATTGGTCATTTCACTCCAAGACTTCTCCTTCTCTGCCAGGTTCTTCTTCTCTCTATCCAACTTTACGCGTTTCACAATGAAGCTCATCAGGAGATAGTCGGAATCCGGCAACTGGTCACACAAGGAAAGGTCAAACCTCATGACTGCGGAATCCCGAATCTTCTTGTACAAGATGTCCCTCAATGTCCTCTTTGGGGGAATGTCTTCCTGTGCATTCCTTCAAGGATACAATAATTGCAGAAGTCATAGATCTACGCGTCACCAGGATATTTGAGATGAATCAGATTGTCAATCAAGTACATCACTTCTGCACTGTCGCCTAATATGAAGTTCTAACATGAACGCAATCACTTCCCTGCCTGACATGATCTTGGAATGTTTGGCACGGTGACGTTGTAGTTTCTCGATCTCAATCCTGACAGCGCGAGCGGCATCACCTGCGGTTTTCAGCACGCTAGCCAACGCCAAACACATCTTGACATCAATAGCGCGAAAATCTTTCTTCACTGTGTTGAGGTCATCGAGCTTGGGACTGGGACTCCAAGCAGGAGTGAGCCACTTTATCCACATCTGATGATCGGGATTTCCGGAAGCTGTAACCAATGACCTAGTTATCTGAGACGTCCAGAGATCAAGTTGATGCATCTTTGGGTACACGGGCACAGCTACTTTTCTCGGCTTCCTTGCGAGTGAACTTGTCCTTCTTCTTCTTCTTTTTCTTCTTCTTTTTCTTTTTCTTGTCACTGTCCTCAGAGGAAGACGACGAACTATCACTAGAACTAGTTGATGCTGAGGATGAGCTAGATGACGATGAGGACAATGAAGGTCCAGGGAACCTCCCGGATTCTGTCCCCTGCATCATCACGTCCTCCCACTGCCTCCGGCACCATCTCCACCTTGTGGTATATCCAAGATATCCGTTTCCATCTCTGCCCCCCTGATCCGGAAGCTCTTTCTCGTCTCTCGGGCGGCGAACCGAGCCCGAATGAAATCACTTGTAGCAGCCCTACGTTATCTTGGTATCTAGAGTAAGTGATAGTGACATCGATGTGGCAAGGGGTCTTCTCAAAGGAAAAATCCAGTACGATCTCAAACTGGACAAGGAAGAGGGGTGATATGGCATCCTGGCATGTTGGCAAGCAGTTCGCCCATTAAGGAGGCTGTGTGCGCCTATGGCCTGGGAGACAGCTCCGCCGGTTTTTAGGGTCTGGAGCATCCTCAACACGCCGCTAGCAAGGCAGCTGCAGCTGCTCGGGCCTTTGGAGGCCCAGCCCTGTCAACGAGCTCTGCTCACCGTCGCAGAACGGCCCTGCCCCGGAAGCTCAGCAGCCACGCAGAGCTCCTGGAGCAGTTCGGCGTGGAGGCCCGCCACCTCAGCTCCTCCCGCGCCGCCACGGCCCAGACATGTGGCGCAGCACCTTGGCCGCCTCAGGTTCCCATGCTCCAGTAGTTTGGATGGGTCTGACAGATGCGCGCTGTGTCCAAATGCAGTCGCTTGACCTCAGCATACGACGTGGCCGCAACGAGACACCTCTCCAAGGGTGTGTCGCTGTGGGCCAGTAACGGCCAAGCCTCCAAGTACGACGGCACGTAGATGTCTGCTGGCCTGGGCCTGTCAAGGCCATTCTCCTCAGGGCGCGGGGAGGAGCAGGCCAGGCTTCTCGCGCTCAGACCCGGCCCTCTCGGCCCAGCCACACAGAAGGCTGCGTAGAGCATGGTGTCGGAGGGTGCGTTACCCCCGCACAAAGGCCGGCATGGAGGGAGAACCTGTCAAGAATGCCATCGCACCTAGAGCACCAGGCATCTTTACTGGCATCTGGCACGCAGAGACGTTGTCTGAGCTCAGCCACGAAGACGGCCGGCTCCATGCGTTTGCGTCCGGCAGGCACGGCTGCCAAGAACGCCCCCGCCTCAGGCTCCGCTTCCGACCGCAGGATGGCTTGTGCGTGAGCTCCTTCTGCTTGAGGGTCACGGCAGTGGACGGGGTAAGGGGAGCCGCCCCTTGACAGTTGAGCAGGTTCAAGGCATGGGCTACGTCAGCTCAAGGCAGCAACTCAGCACAGTTGAAGGCAGCGTCAACTTGGCCACATAGCTCCGACTGAGGCCAGGTAGGCCGCCGCAGCTGCGGAGCGCAGCCCGAGTTTTTCCTGAGCCAGGCTGAGGCTTGCTTGTTCCCATTGTTCCGCATCCAAGTGAAGTCCTGTCAGCTGGCTGAAGCACCCTCCGCACCAGGCCATCAAAGTCCTGGAAGTGATAGTCTCAAACAACGGAGCTGCCGCCATAGCTAAGGCCGAATTAGTTGCAGACTTGGTGTGAAACACGGAACCCCCACCCAGTAACTCTCGTTGAGGATTGCCCCATGTGACCCTTCTGGAGGAGGCAGCCACGGAAGCCCTCTGAGACCCTCTTGTCTTGGCCTTGACCTCCGCATCCTTTTGGAGTAGTGCTGAGTTCAATTGCTCCACGAAGGATTCTTGATCACCCAACTTGTCTGAAAGCAACCGGTTCTGACCTTCCAAGGCGGTGTATGCGCTCTGAGGTTGATCAACTGCATCACAATTTCTTCTTTTCGCTATCTTCGGGGAAAAGTCGAAAACTGGAAAACCGCGCACGTCGCCCAGAAACATACGAAATCGCAAAATGATGAAGCACTGGCAAGCGTTGGATGAAAGCTGCATGGCTTTTGCTTCAAGCGTAGCGAAAAAGAGGTTCCAAATCCACTTTTGTTCAGCAAACGCTGGCAGCGGCGGGACGAAGTCCACATCACATGCTGTTTTCGCCAGGGCCGCTAGCAGCTACTCCTCTTCATGACAAGTAGGCCTAATAACTAGGCCCATGGACTTTAGACGGAGCAGCGGTAAACGGCTGCAGCTGCATTTGAGAGGATACAGACCTGCTAACTAGGAGTAGGAATGAGTAGCATGAGTAGATGCTTCTGCTTACATTACCTGTTCTGCCAGCCGAGCCAGCGACCCAGCGAGGTCGTGCTCGCAAGTTTGGCGGTTGAAGTCCCAAAGCTTCATGGCCTGCCCATCAGAAGGTCTTCCGTCTTCCGGCTGCCCATGTAAAGCTTTTTTCCCATGCTGCCTGAGGTGAGCCAGTCAAGGCCTTGCCATGTACCCAGTCCACAGACATCGTGGTGACCTGAGTGAGGGCTGTTGGGCACCAAGCTCAAAGAGAGTCTGAAACTGCAAGTTTACTCAGGAGCTCACCGAAGTACCATGAACCAACATAGTCAGGCATTCCTTGAAGAAATTGTGTCAGGCAACATATGAGAGCTCTCAGTCCTCAGCTTTCGACCTGCTTTTGCAGATCCCACAGCCTCAAGCTCCTGTCCCACGAACCACTCAGCGCCCGGCCTGTGAGTGCTTTCTGTGTAGCCCACGCGGTCAACAAGCTCGGACAACTTCAAGGGAGCCCTGGCCTTCCTTGCCTTGAAGCGATACTGCAGCCACTCCGTGCGTGTGTCCGCGCAGAGTCGCCAAGCCTCTTTCAGACATTAACATTCAAATCATGAAATCAAACCACTTGGGGACCATGCTTCATATAAACCACCATGTGTCGAGTGAGGTCGTACCAATTTGCCGCCCATTGCGTACATGCGCTGCACTTCTTGCTCCCACACTTGCAGCTGAGTTAGGCGCAATCTCCAGTGGCCAAGTTCCAGTAGCGCACAGAAGAGTCCTCCAGCAGCGCAAATCTATTCGACACGACGCCCATCTCTATGGCAGCGCGGAAGGACAGAACATGTGTATCATGTGCGAAAGCCGGTCCGCAGAACCGCTCAAGGCAGTGTTCCGAGTCCAGTCCACATCAGCGGACCAGACCTTCACGGGCAAAGCTGCAGTCTCCTTAGCAAAACGCGAATGCCCCTGGCCCCTGGCCTCGTCTTGATGCCCTTCTAGCGTGCAGAGGCAGGACTCGCGGTCGAGATCCCAAACTTTCAATGTACCTCACAAGCAGTGTATCCACCAAGAACTGTAGCAACACACCAAACATGAAAGCTTCCTCAAGCTGGAGATTCGACGTTGCCTAGCTTGTTGGTCTATCTACGGCATCTAGAGTCCTTCACGCGGGCATCCGCATCTCACATATTCGCATCCCGCATCCTCCTGCAGCTTCCCGCGGAAGACTTTTTCAAACCAGAGTTTATGCAAATGGCAAGCAACAACTTGCGACCACGGGTGGGGGACGAAAGCTTAGAAGCATTTCATGAAGCGGCGGAGCGTGAACGGCCTCCGCGTGCCCAAGAATGGCTGCCAACATGCCTGAAAAGCTGCCGTCCCGAACAGCAGCCTCCACGGCCCCCGAAACGCCACCTTGAAACCACATCACAACAGACCCCCGGCCCTACTTTTGAGGCCCACCACAACACCACCCGAAAACCCTCCTGCCGCGGGGTCTGGCCCGTGAAACACGGCCAAATTTCAAGATTTTTGACCACAGCAGGAACATACCAGTGCGTGCAACAACCGCCCAGATTGTGGTTGTTGACTTGCAATCACCCCAAGCTTCAGGAAACACGGCACATACAGCACCTCGGGTAGCTGCAGGGCTTGCGACTTGCCCTTTCAAGAACCCCCGACCAACCCTTTGAGGCCAGTTGGCACAGGTTTGCAGATCAATACAGCACAAGACAAGTAAGGATTCTGAAGTCAGTTGAGCAGACGCTCTTCCCCCAATGCCAGATTAAGATTTGCGAAAGGGGCCCCAAAACAAAATTCCTTTTTGGAAGCCCTAGAACCAGAGTGCCCACCAGGAGGGCCCCAAACACAATTGCATTTGTATGATTTGTACTTGAGAGGGCCCAAACTTACATGTGGCTCCAAAAACCTCATTACTGTTTTGGAGAGTCGCCAAGATGGCACTACCGCTTGGGTGCTTTTGAAAAGGCACGCCAAGACCAGATGAAAATGTGGCGTGTGCGCAGAACATCCCTGGGATGCCCTGGGGTCACCATCGCACGAACCACTCAACGCACGGCGACGAGGCCAGTCAAGCCTCAAAGCAGAGCTGGACACACCGCCACCTCGCCTCACGGAGAGCCAGGCCTGACGACCTTGACCATGCCCACATGGCCACTGAAAGTAGCGACGCAGACCTAGGGCTGAACTTCACGGTGCTTCAAAAAGAGCTCTCCTTGAAGATCATGGCACGCAACTAAATTAAGTGTGGTACACCAAGCTCGCTATCCCATATCTTCACATTCTTGTCCCACGAACCTTGTGTCAGAAGCAGATAACATCACCAAAATGAGTTCGAATCGGCGCCCACCCTGCCTGTGAGAATACGGCTGCTGGCATGATCGAAGTCTAAGCCTGTAGACCACGAGACCCGGGCGCAAAAAGATTGCTGCCCAGAAAGGCAACATAAGGCAACACAGAGTGCAATGAACATCGTGAAAGCTAGGGACAGAATGCTGGATGGTCAGCAACCTGAATGGCTTGAACCTTGGTCTTGACAGGAGGGGCTTCACGAGGCAAAAACTCTGCTGAGGCTATGACGCAGATACAATGATCAAGATCCCACACGCGCAAGGTGCAGTCCTCAGCGGTGTTCCGGTCTGTGCAGTTGATGCCACTCACACTGCAACACGACCAGCCTTTACAGGCTTCCTAAGGATTGCCGGAGAGGAAGTGACTACATCAATCCAGGACCCCGTATAGAGATTCTGACCCCGACCACCACTTGCCTATCTTACATTGCAGCGGGCCAGCGGGCCATGGCTTGCGGTCAAAGCTGCAGCTCCTCAAACAGCCACAGCATTAAACAAAAAAGGACGTAACATGCATCCCGCTTACCATTGCGTCCGCACTCAAACCAGCAAGCAGACCTGATTCCCTGTAATTTGGGAAAACCCGCTTACATGGGGAACCATGGCATACATATGCATACATTACGGCTTTCACCTACGTGACTGGGTGCGTCACATGTGCGCCGCTGACAGCATATCTGGTTTTCCAGTCTACCTCAGCTCAAATGGGGTATGCAATAAAGACTTTGCCGACAGGCCTTTTCCATCCTTTTCCTGAGGCGGCCTACGACGAGGGACATCACACCATCACCATGGCCTCGCAATGTCTGCACCTGAAAAAGACACGGAAATGGGTAGTTGAACTCCTTACAAACTGCATCTGCCTGCATGCGCATCAGCTCAGTACGTCACGCATGCCGCTCGATCCATATCCCACATCTTCAAAGTGCAGTCCTCCGGTCAAACATGACCAAAAGCTCACATATCCACGCAACAACAGTAACTAGTCGAGACAGCCAAAACCGCAGGCGTACTTTTGCACATCTTTTTTCGGAAGACAGAAATACTAAACATTTCACCTTAGCTTGCCCGGTACGGGTGGAATCAAATCTTGCAAAAAATGCTGGAAATGTCCAGGCTGAGCTGGATTTCCTGCAAAGATGCTATCATTCGTGCATCCTCAGTAGTGTTTTGAGATTGTCCGCGCGGGGCAAAATCAATGTCAAGCTGGCGCGCAACATCTGGCGCACAACATCTCCAACCACATAGGGCACAAACACGCACAAGACTCCAAGAGACCTCTCCGAGCTCTGAGGGCCGAGCTGTGCTGCAGGTCAATGCGAAAGGCCTGCACTTCTTGCAGCATGAGTTCGTAAACCAACGTGTTGAAGATGCACCTGAAAATCCTCAGAAGCTGAAGTTGAGGAGGTGGGCCAGCAAGATCAGAGAAAAAAGTCGTCAGTAGCACCTGGACACAGACTCTAGTTCGCGCGACATTGGTGTCCAAATTTCTTGCTCAACTGCAGACCTCATCGTCTCTGATCTGTCTGCCGCTGCAAACTAGGGACAGCTCAGCCTGGTGTATCCCAGACCTCAAGCAGGCATCCGCAGCATCAGGCGGCATCAGGCAGCATCAGGAAATTATCGTGAATATTCATGAATCATGTCTGTGCTAGGATACGGGCAACTCTGCCAGGCGCTCCTTGACCTCCACGCCCTGGCTGCTGATTGGACTTAGGGCCACTGAGCCACCGGGCTGGAAGGTCAGGCTTGCTCACTTCAAGGTTCAGGAACCCCTTCGAAGATTTCAGGCAACGCAGATTGAGGCACCGTTCGTGCGCTGAACGAAGTTTGAATGGATTCTTAGGGGCCTTTCACGTTACAAAGTTTGGAGATTCAACGACTCTTGCGTAACGTAGGCCTCTAGGGACTGTAAGGTTTGAGAGCGTTGCGCCTCAGTATGCTTGAGGGACTCGAGGTCTTTTTCTGCCAACCTCGTGAGTGTGCTGGATGGTCACAGGAGGCGGAAACCTCCCGTCAACCTAAACAAAAATAGGGCGGGAAGGGGTGCAGTGGGATAGGGGGCATCCGTTCCTGGAGGCGCCCACAACATCCACATCCGAAAGAGCCAGTTGAACCGACTCCCACCTGACCTTCGCCTTTTTCATGTTCTTGGTGGACTTTGGCATGCCAGCCGACTGGGGAGGAATCTGAGAGGCAACTTCCGTACTCTGCTTCGGTGCTGCGATGGCTCTGTAGGAACCCCATGTCCCACGCTTACAAGCGTGGTTGCTTGGCCAGGACGACAGATGTCAGGCAACAAAGAGCAGACTGGACAAGCATCCACACGCTCAAAGCTCACAACGTTATTGCTGAAGCTTTTTTGGAGGGTCAGGTCCATGCACAAGCCGTCTCTGGGGTTGAGGTATACTTCCAGCGCTGCTGCCTCTGCGATGCCGCAAATCAGCTCACAGCTCTGCACCAACGAGGAGATATCCAGGCACAGGCGGCATCCATGCGACACCGCAGTGCTGCCCGCACTCTGTAAGAATGGATGACCGTTTTCACAGGCAAGTCTGTTTGAGGCACATAACTAAACACTTCCATCTTAAAGCCATGATCCATATGTTCCATGTTCCACGCTTCTTTGCGCACGCTGGCAGCGCCACGGTCCTGCAACTCATCACGACTAATCGGCTAATCCCATGACGACGAGCTTGCACTGTTTTTCGCTGAGCTACCTAATTGCGGACCCTTCGTTGTATTCTCAACTTCCTCGTGCCCTTGTTTCCTGGCCAGCGGCACAAGCCTCAGGCGTTTAAGTCCGGCCTGGCCCTCATGGTCCAGTGCGGATGCACGCCTAGCTACTAGCAAGCTGCGTTTATGTAAGGGGCTGCGCCCAAGAGCGGGCAACGCAGGCAATGCCAAAACTCCCCCCTGCACCCATTCATGGAAAAATGCGCCCCCAATGATGCTGATAATGCTGGCCAAAGGCATCATTGGGGCTCGTTTCTCCAATCTGATGCCTTCCACCACCCCTTCTGACCTGCAAAAAATGATGCTCGGGCGCAAATGGGCCTCAGGGGATCATGCCCGATATACGGGGTGACGCTCATGCCGCCGATCCCCTCCCTTGGAAGCCCTGGAGGCATGCTTTGTCAGAAATTAAAGAGATTTTGGGGTACGTTTTTGAAGCTTAGCCCCTTGCGGAGCGTCTGGGGATGTCTGGGGCAAATTTTTCAGGCCAGCATCATCAGCACAACACCTCAACATACCTAAGGTTTTGGAGGAGTGCTGGAAATTTCTGGAACCTCAGATGGCTCTTGAGGGGCTGCCGGGCGCTTAAAATGCGCTATAAACCCCAACAAAACGCTCAAAATATACGCTATGGGCAGTGTTTGTGGTGTAAATACCAGTGTTGGTGGGACCTGCACTGTATGACAAGCATGAGACAGGTTGGGCAAGATGCAGTCCGCATTGTGATGATGGTGATGATGGTGATGATGATGATGATGATGATGTTCCTCTACCGGCGCGCGCGTGCGCGCCTCGTACAGGAAGATCACCAGCACAATTGGGACCCCCTTTGGGGCCGTTTTCAATTAAACTAGAGAGAACAGGACCTTCCAAAGCTAAAAAAATATCCCAGGTAGCAAGAACATCATTTTCAGGAGCATCAGCAGGGATGGGGTGGGCTTGGCTTTCTCGACGGCCAGGCCGGCGCTTGCCGCCAGGCCCTAAACAAGACCCTGTCGCCATGGTCCGCAGATGCACGCCCAGCTAAATCTATGCCTTTAAGGGTGGCCACTACGGACTCTTGGCATGCGTCAAGACCGGAAGCGGCTGCGCTTTTCTTCAAATCCCAACCCTGATTGCAGAATGTCCCGACCCTGTGTGGTGTCCAACCCGCGAATGTCTACGCAGGAAGTCGTCAGGGAAGCATGAAGTTACAGATGACCAGAATAGGTTGAGTTTTGCTCTTGGGATTTCGCAGCTTACTTGGTACTCAGCATGAATGTCACGGCATTCATCATGGAGAAAGGCCTTCAAACGCGGAAGCTTAGCAAATCATGCCCAATATGCGCAAGAGGCGAGATTGCCAAGCGCAGTATGGTCTAGATTCGACAAGGACGCCCGAAAGAATTTCCACAGGGAGAGGGCTTGCAAAACCGATTTCTGAAATGGCACTGCCAAGGGGAGAACATAGACTTCTCAAATCTAACAATCCAGCGTGAGGCTGGAGAGTACCAGCACGAGCGCGTGCTTCTTGTAAACTAGCTTTTACAATTTGTCTGGTGCCCAAGTTCAGAATCAAACGCTTTTGCAGGCTTTGCCCCTCCCCCGTCTCCCTACCTAAGCCTTGCCTCCCCCCCGCTCGCAATCCCGCTCTGCTCGCCAATCCATTCCGAAGCGCCGAAACGGCAGCCATCTGCACATCTGGGCAGTGGGATGCCCGCTGCGCTCGGCTGAGTCAGCCTGAGGCTCTTAAAGTCCGGCCTGGCTGTTGTTGTCCAGTGCGGATGCACGCCTAGCTAAGGCCCGGCAATGTTTTTCAGGCTTCATTTTCCAGCTAGCCTTTGATTCTCCTTTCTTGACACCTCAACACTGTGTTGACAACACACCTAGGGTTGCGGGAGGGTGCTGGATGCTCATATGCGCGGTATCAAGAGGGAAATGGAAGGCCCAAACAAGCTGCATGTTGCATGGTTTTCCGGCTCTTGCCCATATGTCCAGCACTTTGGAGGCTCTTATGTTGTGTACACCACTTTAGCCTATTAGACAAAAGCTGCTTCTGAATTGCCAAACATGGAACATGCGGGACAAACCATGGAAAGCTTGCGCAGAAACCAGAAGTCCATGTTCAAAGCGCTTCGGATTGCTTTTGGGGGGCCTTTCTACGCCAAATGGAGACCCAATTGCGCTGATGTTCGCATACGGGCGAGCGCCCTCATGGGTGCAGGGCGGGGAAGGCTCCCATCAGCACAATCCGCAGACGCCGGAGAAACTTAGACCCTGTTGGAGTCGCACAATTGTCACAGGGTCCTCATTTTAGGATTCAGGTTGCCAAACAGTGATACATGTGCCTTGTGGCACGGGCCGGACTGGCCCCTTCCAAAATCCAATGAAGTTCCAGATCATGAGAAGTCTCTGCAGAAGTTGTTGCTAGTTACAATGGTTTTGCATGGTTTGAAGGTCTTCTTGTCCCTAGCTTAACCCAACAGGGACCTCACGATAATGCGCAACCGTGTCGGCTCACAAAATTGTCCAGGTTCGGATACTCGGAGAGTAAGTTAACCTGCATTTTAGGGAGTCAGATTGGCTTTTTTAATTGTCGATAGTGCGGCTGTTTGGCCAGGTTCCGCGCGGGCTGGTCGGGTGGTTGCCGAGACGGTTTCGCCTTAGCGCTAGGTCCCTGTTGGGTTAAGCTAGGGACAAGAAGCCCTTAAAACCATGCAAACCCATCATGACTAGCAACAACTTCTGCAGAGACTTCTCATGATCTGGAACTTCATCACCACAAAGTGGGATCTCCGTATGGATTTTAGAAGGGGGACTGCTAGTCCGGCCCGTGCCACAAGGCACACGTAATATCATGTATATTGTTTGGCAACCTGAACCCTAAAATGAGGACCCTGTGACAATTGTGCGACTCCAACAGGGTCTAAGTTTGAGGGGATGGTTAGTTCTGCTTGGGGGGTGGTGACAACACCTGTACAAATAGGGTTTGCCAGGCCTCAGTATCCTCTTTAGGATTCAGAGTGTTGTGCGTTTAGCGCATTTGAGGCCTGGGGGCTTGGGATTTGGGATGCCTTCAGAGGTTCGCAGTTTTGTGTCCTCACCGGTTTACAGGTGTCAGGCTGTGACTGCCTGTCTGGAAGCTTGGGGTTTGGGGTGTTTGGTTTTTGGAGCGTGGGGTTGCGGGGCGTGGGGGTTGCAGGGTCTAGGGGATTTGTGGTCTAGGGTCCCAGCGCCCAAGGGTCTGAGCTTTGGATGGCTTACGGTTCAGGGGCTGCGGCTTAGGATTTTATGGTTCAGAAAATTGGGAGGCGTTGGAGTTTAGAGGCTTTCTGCGTGTGGGTTTGGAGTACATGGGGTGGCTGCTGTTGGTTCGGCAGTTCTTGGATTCGTGGGCTTTAGGATTCAGAACTCTCAGGATTTGAGGCTTGGATATACGGGGCTCTGAGGAGGAGATCCCGCCAACAAGATCATCGCATCAAACACCAGGAAGTGACGCCTTGGCGGTGTTGCCAATGATGAACTTCCACGACCGGCCACTTAGCATCGCCACCTTTGCTTCTGCACATTGCATGGCACGTGCCATGCACAGCCTAAGCAACCAGCCAACGCAACACACATATAAGATTTGCCTCCACTTCTAGACCTGCAGCATCGCTTTCCCAGCAGATCCAGCGCTGTCGGTTGGCCTTCGATTGCCCACTGCAACCAACTCAGCCCACACTCACAGCATTGCTTGCAGGAATCATCGCCTGTTGGCGGAGCTGGCACAACTCCTACAAGAAGGATATGAAAGAGCGTGGGCTTCTGAATGGGGCAAGCTGTAAAGGTCCTTCCGCATGGTGGAAGTGCATGGTTTTGGTGGCGGCTTCTGAAACAAGCTCCTCACCAGGTCAAAAACTAACGCCCAACATTTCCTTCCTGTTCCAGGAGCCGTGTAGTCACAAATCATGACATTGAAGTAACAACGCCAACAACTCGCCGCTGCTCGTTATGATCATGTCCTCACAGATTGCAGCATGGAGCCTCCATGGCCTCCATGGCTTGGGGGCAGCCACAATTGGATATGTGAAGCATGCCTGCCTTGTGGAAAGCACGTATATAAAGCGTGGAGAATTTTGCCGAGGTCCTGCAGCCACCAAACATCGCACAGACACAAAGCTTGGGCCAGCACTTCTCGCAGGTCCCACAGGACAGTGTATCTCACGTTGGTGGGACGGTGCAGCGACCTCTCTGCTCAATGGAGAAAACAGAGAAGAACTTGCAACTTGAAATGGAAGATAAGCTGAAACGAGCTTTGGCTGAGGCATGCCGAGGAGCTGTGCCAGGTCACTGTAAGATTTTTCCAACTCGCCGAGCCGGCTCGAGGCAGATTCCATGGCCGCAAGCTTGCGTGGATTTTCCCAATATTTGAAAAACGCTGCACACCTGTTGAAGGAAACTCAATCGCTGTTTGTAGGTCGTGCACATCCATCACCAAAGTATCATCCCAAGCAGCGACAAGCACGTTTGTGGACACTGATTCAACCATCTTCGTCTATTTCATACGTCTGGGGGCTTTGAGGCACTTGAAGCACCATGTTCACGTTTGCAGACATTCGTGCTGCTGGCTACGCTAGCCCGTAAGCTTCTCGCAAGCAGTTCGCGAGCCTCCTCCTCTTTGGCTGCCTCCGCCTGTCAACCCGCGGAATCACAAAGTCTGTTGAAAGCCTCCAAAGTCCTTGCCTTTTGCTTCTCAATAGCTTTGATCCTGGCTGCAGTGTTCAGTTGCTGAAAATCCAAACCGGTGCCTAGCCAAACAAGAAAGCACGTTTTGGCCGCGAGGAGCACGCCCAGAGGACAAGATGCAAGGATTATGAATTCCTAAATGTAAAAAGGCGATTGGGTGATAATGTCGTATCTCCACACCACAGCTGAAACCCTTGCTTCGCTTTTCCTGTTTTCAATCAAGCGGTCATCAAAGTTTTGCTTGGTAATCGATGTGGGCCAATCGTAAATGGCAGGTAGCTATGTGTTCCCACTGCCTAGTTAACTACAAATGGAAAAATTGAGCCAAACTACAATTGACCACACACCAAAGTGACAATGCCACCTTAGTTGCATGCCTGTGAGTTAAGGTGAATATGTAGAGCTTTACACCCCCCACGGCGAACTGCAACTCGTTGCGTGAGACGAAGACAGAAGCTCTAGCTCTCCTTTCACACTCCAAGACTCACACGGTAGCAAACGCATAGCTAGCTATGAGATCAAGGCGCAAGGGAAGTCCCTAGAACGCACGTTGTGAGACATATGATGGCCACCGTCGCTCGGCGCCAGGGAAGGCCCTAGGGCGCGAAAGAATTTCCATTTCACATCAAAATGGCGTTGGAAAGAAAGATATCATCGTCTCACATCATTTAATCATCCATAGCATTGAGATCAAAGCTGGGATTGTAGGTGTGCCCATGGTACTGATCAGCACCAATTTGCTGCAATCCGGTTCTGAACATTGATGTTCGAGCACCCTTCTGCCATCTCTCCACATTGTACCATTCGTCCCAGTTCTGGAGTTGCCCATTGACGACCTCCACAAATCGGTTCTTGAAGTTTCTGGGGCTCTGCCGAATTGCACGCCCATCTGTACGCCGATGTAACGAACCTCAGGATGAATCCTTTCCTGCTTCTTTTGACCCTCAGAGCCCCCCTCCGTGATGACATCTTTCGGCATGTTTCGATACGGAGTGTACCTAAACTTCTTCACGCCAAGAGCATGTGATAGCAGCATTCGCACTCTGGCACTGATGAGATTTCTTTGCCCTTCACCTTGATTGGGCCGGACTTGCCGATACCCATCAGAGTTGACTGCAATCAAAGGAGAGAGGAATTCGCTGACATTCATGGCCCAGAGATAAATGCCCCAAAAGAAGCCGGGACTTGGACAATCTTGAGGTGCAAAGCGGAGGCGCAGTCAGAAGGAGAAGATGGCTCAGATGGAGGGCGCGTTGCAATCTCAGAGTGGGGCGCAAAGGGTAGAGACAGGGCATCCGAAGAAGTGGGGCATGATGTATGTCGCCCATCAAGATGGCAAAGCATTATGCTCCCGCTTTTCAAAGGGTGGCCCGAATGCATGTCCAGAATCATGCAAGGACGGGCGAACCCATGGATGCCAGTATTGCTTGGGCAAGCACCCAAACTCACAGCGTACATCACCGCTTGCGCAGCAGGCTAAGGAGAAGGGCGGGAAAGGGGCGGAGAATGGCAAGCGACAGGACCAAGTCGGCCTGACGCTGTGTCCGGTTCAGGCCCCTTCTACAGCTATGCCATCAGAGCCTGCTGCCCAGAAAGACGAGGTGTCGCAACTTGCCCCCCAAAAGCTAGCGTTTCTAGATTTCTTTGCAGGTCATGCTGGTTTCTCGGAGGCGGTGGAGGAGGTTGCTGGGATGTGGCCGAAGTGATGGAGCCGCTAGATGGCTACGACGACAACTGGGATATTTTTGTCAGCACACCTTGACAGAGCCAAGGAGACGGTCAAAAGGACGGATCACACTCACCTGGCGTTCATGCGCAACTCCTTCACCCAAGCGAGGATAACAGACAGTCATGGGCAGTGGACATCATCAGGTCGGATCAGTGTCCAATGGGATGGGGACATCCGTTGGCAGAGCAGGGCAACAAGCTCTCGGCGAGCGGCAGCCTTATGCTATACCATGCTAGAAGTCGGCGGCGCCTTTCCTTTGGAAAATGCGCGGGACTCGTTTGTTTGGGAACATCCTGCGATCCGGAAAATCCTCAAGAAGGCGGATGTGAACACCATACTCCTGAATCAGTGCGCGTATGGAGCGGAGTCAGTAAAGCCCACTGCCATTGCGTCAAATGCTGAGTGGATACTGACTGGCAAGCTAACGCGCAAGGATGTGCCTCCACACTCTCACATCCAACACGGACTTACTGGCAAGGTCTTCGATCCCAACGTTGGCGAGTAAGTGTGGCGGAAGTTTCTGGCAGCAGAGTATCCAGCAGGTCTATGCTGGAGGCTGGAGTTGGGCAAGCGCCCTTCGGATATGGCTGGTTTCTCAGACAAGGGGTCAAGGCCACGGCATCCCGGACCCTAGTGAAGACCAGCAGGTTCAGCAACATCCTCGCGCGACTCGACATTACACGAAGCGCGCAGACAAGCAGACGCAAGCGCCCACGCCCGAGGTCAAGGAGACAAAGGCGGAACGACGGCGCAGGGAGAACGAGATTGCCATCGGGGCCCTGCGGGACTCAAGACGATCTGTTGCTAGATCACGTGCTTTGAGACAGACAGGAGCCTTGCAGGCAGAACCCTGTAAGCGTTCCTTTTTGGCACGAGTGGCGAAAGTCCAAGGTTCAGCAAAAGTCTGAAGAGAGGACAGAGAGGCTGCGCGCTCAACCCCTGGACAGGGGTGCACCACAGCCAGACAGCATGGGGTGGGCAGAAGTCCAACCCAACAACCCATCAGACAGCAGAAGCTGCGCGTGCGCTTCCTGCCAGCGCAGAGCATCCGCCTCAGAGGATCTGAGACGCCACGGCACCCAGAGCAGGCCCTTGTCATCAATGGCCGCGCGAAGATGCAAGAGACAACAATTCTCCAGGGTAGTGAGACAGGAACTTGGCACGCAAGTCCTAACTTAGATGCATTGCGCGATGAAACCGGCAGTGCAGGAGAGGCAGCAGCAGCTGGAGGGGAAGGCGAAGTCCCTGCAGCATCTGCCGCAAAACGCAAGAGACGACGAACATTGGCCACAGCAGGGTTGACCGGCAGAGGGTCGTCAGTAATGCGCAGCAGAGCCCTGATGGCAGGAGCCTCATCAGACTCGGGCTCGACCGCATAGGCAATGGAGGCAGGGTAGTGAAACCACTCGCTGTCAGAGCTGCTTGCACGGCCGCTGGCGCACCCCACTCGGTGAGTAAGGCGGTCAGGTAGGCTCAGTTATCCAAGCGAGGATGGGTCATCACGAGACCTCTTCAGCAGCAGAGACAAACGTTGAGCCGAAAAGGACTGCAGCGAGCAGATCAGACAAAGCAAGTTACCGGCAGCGAGCAGGCAACGGACCATATTACACCGCACTTTTTGAGCTCTCCCAGACAGTAAGGCCTCTTAAGTGCTACCAGCCTGCACGGTGGCAGGTTTTGCAGTAGCGGTGGGTGCGCTCATCAATCCTATCTGAGCGAATACATCTGTTGCACACATGATCACAGGCAGGGTTGTCGCAGCGTCGTTGACAGTGGACTGGAGTAGTAAAAACTCGGCCAGAACACGCTGAAGGTGCACTCTGGTACCAGCTGTCATTTTGATTGAACAATCACCCGCAGTTCGGCGTCGGAAAGCTGGTTGACATTCCTGGGCGCTGCCGCGCGTGGTACAAGTGCAGACGAGCCAGCCCATGGCGGTCAGAGAACGATGAGCCGGAGAGAGCCAAACACCTCTGGGAATGCAAGCTCAAGACTCATGCACAGACAGAACGCAGACGTGCAAGCTATGCACGCCGTTCCTTTACAGCAGTTCGGCAGAGCGCATGTGGAGATCTCTGAAAATCCTGATTCTGAATCTCATTTGTTAGGCCCCCTAATGGATTCTAATAGAAATCCCGACCGGCCCGGCTTCCGAAGCCAAAGCCAGCTCTGAGAACTTTCAAGGAAAGTTGCCAGAGCTCACGAGGCGGAGGTGTGCAGAGCAAACACAGACGCACAAGCCTTGCGCAGGCAAAGTGCGCAATCTGGCGGCATGAAGCGACACGCGGATTCGGGGCCCAGTACCGCCGCCCCGCATGCCGGGCGCAGCAAAACCCATTGGTCATCAACCTGCAGAAAAAAAGACCGTGCTGACCCGGATAGTGACTGCCGCGCGCAGAACAGAAGAACAATGATTGAAAGAGTCATAGAGGCCTGGCGGTGGGATCCCCAGCCAGGTCCCATCTTGCGCAGCGGGACTTACGCACAGCGGCTCCAAGGCCTCTGGAAGGCAGTGCCAGGTTGGCCTCATCTCGATCAAAGCTAGCCTGCGGCGAGACACGATTAGACGCAGCATCCTCTACCGCTTGCATCGGTTGAGAGGCCACAAGGTTCCATTCGAAAGGTCAGGCTGCGACCCCATTGAGGGCGTAGTGGAGGAAGAGTCCAGAGAGGCTGCGACGGCAGAAGAAATCCAACACACTCAGAATACGCAACGGCTGAAGAGGCCTGAACCCGACCGTACAGGTGGACAGAGGATTCCGAACCCACCGGCTTGCGGTGGCCGTGTGTCCTACACAGGGAGTCAGGCAGATTGAGCTGTCTGGCCCAAGCCAACACAGTGGCCTTCGCACTGTGAACCGAGGAGACCGATCTTTAGTGGGCCTGCAGCAGCGATCTGATCCAGGGAGTGGCCTCAGAGCG